CCTGGGGCCAGCAGGTGCTCAGTGCACCCCTGTGGAGGGAGTGGAGGGCCGGTACCTTTCAGCTGGCCTGCGTGTAAAGGGCTGAGTGAAGTGTCACAGTGCCCAGACGGCAAGCTCACTCGGTCAGCAGGTATTTTATTGTGCCCCTGGGCCCAGTGTCTTTCTCTGAGAACAGAACGTCCCTTCAAGGATGTCATGCCTCCCACACAGAAACAGGCAAACAGCCCACATAGTCAGTCAGTGTTGTACAACTGCAGACTAGGAAGGCGCGTCGGGGGCAGAGCAGTGGGAAGGGGGTCTGAAGCAGGTGGGACAGGAGCTGGTGTTTGGGGACAGGCTGGGTTTGGATTATCAGTGTGACATGGGGAGGGACAGCCAGGTAGGGAGAGCTGCTCGAACGAAGACAGGAAGACCCTGCAGGGTTGGTTATGGGGTTTCCCAGACCGGCGGGTGTGGAAGGAGGATGGGCCGGACAGAGTTCCCAGCACGTTGCGGTGGCGGCATGGTGGTGCAGCTTCCTGACGGCATCCATCTGCCTGAGTCCACCAGGGGCTCCCAGACTTGAGTGGGCATCAACGTCTCCCAGAGGGCTTATTGAAGCACAGGTGGCTGCCTCCTCCCCATCCCACAATAGCTGCTGATTCAGCAGGTCTGGGGTGGGGCCCGAGAATTTGCCCTCTGACTGCTGCTCTTGCTGCTGCTGAATTAGGGACCACACTTTGAGAACCAGTGGCCTTGAATTCAGCAGTTGGTAAACTTTTTCTGTTCAGGGCCAATAGTGAAGGTTGTAGGCTTTTGAGCTGCGTTGGATTTGAGTCACATATTCTTTGTTGCTTTTCACAACCCTTTAAGCATTTACTGACCATGCTTAGCCATAAAGAAACAGGCTGGCAGGCAGGAGGGATGAGCCCTGGGAAGGCAGGGCGGGGCTCACTGACTCCTGGGCTGCAAGGAGATGATCCCACCTCTCCCACAGAGCTGGCAGACCTTTGCCAAGGTAATCTCCCTGTGCCTTTGTTTTTCCATCTATAAAACAGATACTAACTACTATTTATAAAATAGATAAAAATGGTACAAATGAACTTATTTACAAAACAGGTACAGACTCACAGACATAGAAGACAAAGACAAAAGAGGGGGAGGGATAAATTAGGAGTTTGGGATCTGCAGATAGTAACTACTCTACATGAAATAGATAAACAAGTTTCTTCCGTATCGCACAGGGAACTATATCCAGCATCTTGCAAGGTCTATGATGAAAAGGAATATATATGTATGAATGAATCACTGTGCTGTACACCAGAAACTAACACAACATTGCAAATCAACTATACTTCAAAAAAATTGTTTTGAAAGTCAAACATAAAAATATTAATAGTCTTAGTGTATAAGACTCTTCCAAGAATTCAGTGAGCTAAGGCACAAAAAGCATTTATCCCAGTGCCTGGGACAGATGTGCAATTTATTTACCATTTACTCTCAGTCTCACGGTGGTGCTGCTGATACCTCTGTTGTGGGATGAGGAGGACCCGCCGAGACCCGCTGCGTTGCAGACGCTGAGAGCTCACTGCCCCAGGATCTCATTATCATCTCTTCTTAGGTGCTTAGGAAGAAGGATGCTTTGAACTGAAACATCCACACTCTCTGAATACATCCTGGCTTAGTCCCACGTCGGAGATCACGCTTAGCCTCTGGCTTTGGTGCACATCGAAGATAGTGCTGTTGGCTAGCTGGCTGGTTCTTGGGCCCAGGACTCTGTAAAGGGGCGAGTATCCTGGCCTCCTGGCAACCCATTTGCAAGCTGTGCTTCAGCCCCGTTTGTTGGGAAGCCTTGATTTAGGACCCTGGCTCAGCCTGCCCTGGTAATGGGTAGGATCTGACTGCGTTCTATTGAATCTCTGCCTTCTCACCTCTCATTTTGCCCTGTGATGTAAGCGAAAATGAGAACCACGGAAAAGCAGGACGTTGTGTGCCCCACATTTCCTGGGTTGAAGTGTGCAAGTGAGCAGTGAGGTTCAGCTTTCACTTACAGTAGCTGGAGTGGAAAGGCGATTGGGTACCCTGGCATAGCCTCTCTGTACGGGTGCCTGGGGAGAGGGCACCTGGTGACCCTGAGATGTTCAGCTCAGCTCCAGACACTGCTAATGAAAGCTGGCCTTACTTAAGTAACATGGGGGCTCTCTCCCCTCTCCTTGTCTCCAGGGGGCATCCACTTTCGGGCTCCCCTCACCAGCTGCATGCTCCAATCCTTGCCAGAGTCCATAATAATGACTTTTGTAAGCTCAAGTTTCAGATGCACAAAAGTGCCCGGTGGTGGTATGACTCCACCCTCCACTTGGGGTTTTGCTGACATTCCATGAAATATCCTTCCATCTCCTCCCCACCTTGCAAAACAAGCTTCCTGTTTTGAACTCTGTCCAGACTGGAACAGCCCTGCTACACCTGTTAACACACTCAGATGCCCACTTCCCCCTCCTCCCCACAACCCTTGTATTTGTACAGCTTTTTGTCGCCCAGCCAGGTTTCCCTTCTCAGCTTTACAGATCCCGAGTCATAACATAAGATATGGAACCGGCAAATGAAGAAAAAAGGAAGTTCACATTTTAGGGCCATTTGAGTGAAAACACGGCTCTGGTTTATTTCAGTATGTTTTGCCACCATGACTCTGCTAACTTTCCCCTTTCTTCACAGCAGGATGGAAGCGAGGAAAGAAAATCAGCTGACGCAGGAGCCAGAGTGAGACGGAGAAACCCACAAACCCAGCCTACACCATGAACTTGTGTCTCCGCGCTGTGCTTTAAGAGCCCCGGGCAGGTGAAGTTGCCGGAGGGAGCAATGGCTCTCTTTACTCCGTGGAAGCTGTCCTCTCAGAAGCTGGGCTTTTTCCTCGTGACTTTTGGCTTTATTTGGGGTATGATGCTCCTGCATTTTACCATCCAGCAGCGAACTCAGCCCGAGAGCAGCTCCATGCTCCGGGAGCAGATCCTGGACCTCAGTAAGAGGTACATCAAGGCGCTGGCAGAAGAAAACAGGAACGTGGTGGATGGTCCCTACGCAGGTGTCATGACAGCTTACGGTAAGCACCACACCGCTGGGGCTTCTCCACTGAGTGTAGCTTTTCCTGGAAAGGACCCCAGAGGCTCTCACACTTCGTCGTGGATTGAGTATATCCCTCACCGCTGCCTTCATGGCAATAAATTGCACACAGAGGGCCACTTTGAGAAGGTTAAAGCAGTGCCTTTTGGGAGATTCTGACCTCTTGTACACAGTGACACTCAGCCCAAGGGGCGGTGGGACAGAAAGGTCTGTGCTCTATTGGTTGTGTGTGCAGCCGGCTCCTCCTCTTGATGCACGGCTGGATTGCATGATCTCATCCGGGAGGATGATCAGGGAATGTCGAAAAATATTCTCATTATCGCTCCCTAAACAAAATTTAATTAGGACCGGCGAGGGTGAGGTAAGGAGGGTGGGGAGGAAAGTTCCAGGGATGCCAAGAAACTCAGAGCCAAGTGAGTGCCTCCCGCCAGCCAGTATGCAGGACGTGAGGGCTTCCACGCTGGCGAACAGCTTTAACCTTTGGTTCCTCAGCTTTTACTGCCCTTGTTTCTTACTCTTGTCTCTGACTGCCCTACTTTAGAAAGAAAGCTTTTAGTGTCTGTTACTTTTTTGGTCAGGTGCCTGAAATCTTTTTTGATGTGAGGTTGAGTGAAAAAAAATACACATATGGAATATTACTTATTTTGCTTTGGGAAAAAATATTGCTTTTAGAAAAATTTGGAAGCTGTGGATGAGCAAAAACAAAAAAGACAAGGAGAAAAAGGAAAAATCACATATAAATCTACCACTCTAGGAAGTAACCACAATTCACATTTCAGTGTTTATCTCTCATGTATTTTATATATACATAATACATATATACAAATATATATATAGGGACACAAACGATTTACAAAAACATATACACACAAATACAAAACAAAAATCACAAATGAAATTTGGATCAGACTGTTTTGGAGAATCCATGTCCCAGATGTCCTGTGGTCCCTGAGTACTGGAGTGGACTTGATCTGCAGAAGATGACCGTCTGCTACTGTTCACTGACAAGTCTGGTCACTGAGAGACTTGAGTGGCCTCAGGGTTTGGGACCTGGGTATAATATCAGTGAGATACAAGAATGGGGTTGGGTGAGGTAGGAAAGGTTGATGACCCAAGTCAAGGTCTCTGACATAGGTAGAGTTGGACTGATGATTCCTGAAGATGCATAGCAACAGGTTGAAGCTTGAGTTCAAGACAGGAAATCATGCTCAATTTTACACATACATATTTTTCTTTTTGGAAGAATCCAGAAAAATTGGTTACTTTTTAATTGTACGTAGGTATTAAAAATTTATGTAGAACTATGCAGGAAACGGTTGCTTTTAACATACAACATGGACATTTTTTCATTACCTACTATTTGAATGATCACACAGTCTGCTTTGAATCTATTCCATCAAGATTAGGCAGTGTCTGTAGGGACTGCTTTTTAATATGTCTAGATAAAATGTCCCCTTTTTTGATCTGGTGGATCAAAAAAATGAGACTAGTTTGAGAGCTGACGTTGCAAACCAACTAGGTGGTTTTTCAGAGTGTGTTTTAAATTACTCATTGACTTAGATCTTCTGTGATATTCCCCAAACATTATAGGTAAACCACCAGGAAAAAAATGAAGCAAATTGGTGTTACCAGTGTGATACAAGTAAATATCACAAGTAGGACAAATGCTGTTTTCAAATTTCTGGCTCATTGCATTCCATGTTACACGTTTGGAGGGAAAGGGATTTATGGTCCAGTAGTAATTTCCTCCTGCTGTTTATCTCAGACTCTCTCAAACCTTTTCCATAGGAAGGAAGAAGCCCCACGAATGGCAAATACATGGACTTTATTTTTTTTAGTTGTTTGGACCAGTTTTTCTTTTTCACGTACTGCTAAGCACGTCTGCAATCTAAAGAGCAATGATCTGATCTTAGCTTTTCAGCCTCAAAGAGACAGTATGTTTTTTAGAAAGTTAATAAAAATCCCCAGTGTAGTCTGTTAGAATATCAGCCCCCTTATGCTTATAATCATAGGGCTTTGGAGCTCAAAGAAACTACAGAAATTTATTTCAGCTTCCTCCCTTTACAGATGAACCTTAGCAAAATAATTCTTTTTCTCCTAAACAACAAAGAAACAACCCGACGGCCCCATCGGCAAGTCTAACCTATTTTCCCCCCTTCATCTAATCAACTCCAATGCCAATCAAGGTGGTCTTTGGAGCCGAGTTTCGGAAATTTAATTGGACTGTGCACATGTGTTTGATGCACTGGGATCATTACGTGGTGAAATCTCACTAAGACACAGGTCCTCACCTGGCACTAGTATGTTTGGGGCCAAGTGAGTCTGTGGGTGGGAGACTGTTCGGGCCTTATTGGATGGTTAGCACATCTCTGGTGTATCTACCCACTACATGCCAGTAGCATCAAAAATGTCTCCAGACTTGAGGGGGCAAGATTGCCCCCCTTTCCGCCTTGGAGAGCCACTGTACTAAAAGTAGAAACAGCAAACACAATCTAACGGCATCTTCTGGTGGAAAGTTCTCAAGCAGATAATTGGATTTTGTTATTAAAAAATTGACAACCTGCTTCTCCCTGGCTCTCAGGTATGGGCACCAGCAGTTGGCACTGAGCCAGACGGCATAGTTCAGGGCCAGTCCTGGAGAGCTGGAAGGCCCTTCTGATGGTGTGTGCTTCCCCGGGGATTCATCAGTGGCAGTTGTGGACATGTCAATAGCTGGGCTGCTCTGGTGGTTGATGGTAGACAGCACATGGAGATACAGAGGCTATAGGATGTTCAGTGGTTGAACTGGACTGTGGGCGCTGGGATAAGGATAAATGAGCCATTGGTTTGCGTCTCTTTTTCTGCCACAAATGCAGCCCATGTACATACAGAGTGCTGTCTAGATGTCTGCTCTGAAAGAGTGGAGGGCTGATTCTCTGTGGCTGGGACCTGTGTCTGGTTTGAATGAATGCAGTTAATTTAAAAAAAAAACAACAAAAAAAATTCCTTCTCCCATCCCCATGTTGGTATCATCAGAAGCTCTCAATGGGCTATAAATGTGTCTTCAATAGCTGTGGCACCTGTTTGAAGAATCATTATCACTGATATTAGATTATTACTGATTTATTAAAATTCCTGACTTGAGATGCTGGAGCAGAAATGTTCAATAAACCATGACCAGTGGATCAGATTTGGAACCCTGCCTGTCTAGTGTAAAGAAAGTTTCTTGGAACACAAACACTGCTGTTTGTTTATAACAGCTGCAATAACAGAAATGTGGTAATACCCATGTTTATTTCACATACCATCTAAAGCATGCTGAATCCATCTTTCAGCAGTCTCCATAGTTCATTCAATAACACTCATCTGATCATGTCCATCTTTGACTCAACAATTTCCCAGGACTCCCGTGACCTTGGGCCAAATCTTCCTGCTCTTATATGAGAAGTGTTTGGAACCCAGCACCCTGTTGTTTGTGCATTGTCTGTGGCTGCTTTGGGGCTATAACTGCGGAGCTGAGTGGTTGCCACAGAGCATGCAAAGCCCAAAATACTTACTGGCTGGTCCTTCGCCAAAATGTTTGTCAGTCCCTTACACATGGTTGCTGTTGGCTGTTAGTTTGAAGAGTCCTCAAACAGCAGTAGAAGCCCTTTCAAACAGGATCTCCTCCTCCCCATCCCCGCTGCTTTGAAGAGACTTCTGAACTTCCTTTGGGATTTGGACGTTCAGAAGCCATGCCTGGACAATGTCCTGGGAAGCCTGTGTGAAACAGAGCATTCATTCCTGGGGTGTTGAGGGTGTTCCTGGGTGTTTCTCCACACCGCTGAGAGGAGTGTGTGGAGCCAGAGCCTTCTGCAGTTCAGCCTCCGCTGCATTGCCCGGGCCTGTGTGGCAAGGCCATGCCTGTCAGTGCTTTCTCAGGGATTGCGTCATGAAGGGTGTCACTCGCCTCAGTCAATGCTGCTCTTGTTTCTGAGGTGAATTGATCTCTGTCTCCAATGGCCTGACCCAAATTCTGATCCCCAGTGATCACCTCTTATCTAACAGGCCAGGCCTGGTCTACTTGTGTTCTCTAAGTAACAGGAATAGAGACCTGGGGGAATAGACACCACCCACCACCCTGTGGTCCAGCCACACCCTGACCTTTCTCACCAGCTTGATTCTCTGGGTGCTGGGACGCTCCTCCCTGGACCAGTCACTAGCTCAGGCTGAAGCAGCTGGGAGCCATCAGCATCCCTGCCAACCCCTACCCCCACCCCATCCTGCCATCAATATCCTATTTCCCTGCTGCCTGGTCCCCCTTGGCCTCCAGGTCTGTACACCTGGTCTGTCTTGCCTCCTGTCTCCTGGGTCCCTGAGCTCCTTGGGTCTAGACTGTTCCCTGGATCGGCTCTTATTCATCCAGCCTGGCACTTTAGGAAATATCTGTGCCATTGGCTTTGTGTGCACAGCTGGAAAAAGACCCACAGGGTCGCTGCTCTCACAGAGGCTTCGTTCATTTTGGGGGAGAAATAATAAATAGAAGAATGACAGATGGCAGTAAATTCCAGGAAGAAAAATGACACGGGGAGATGGGATTTTTCTTTTAAAGTACTCGAGGCACTACTTTGGAGGAGATGGTCGAAGAAGGCCTCTCCCAGGAGGTGTCTTTCAGCCCAGGTGACACTGAGGAGCTGCCAGGTGGGTGGGGGACGTGGTGGGAGGCTGAGGCAGAGTGCAGGCAGGAGCTGCGCGTGCGCCGGGTCCCGGCTGTGCGCATGCGCACCGGGGGCAGCGCAGAGGGGGCTGCGGCGGGAACAGAGGGAGCCCCGAGCAGCGTGGCCGCTGCTGATGTGGGGAGAGAAGGCAGAGGGGCGTGGGTACCGTGGCCCTGCAAGCTGA